ATATTTACAGTGGACGCTCGGGTTGTGAACGTGATCCGTGTGGGAAGCACATTCACAACCCGCAGCGTTCGCAACCCGCAGCGTTCGCAACCCGCAGCACCGCATCTGTGCACGTGCGGGTAGCGATTCGGCGCTTCTGCGATGCACAAAGCGCAATTTTGCGCTTCTGTGCATGCGCAAGCAGCAAAACCCAGAAGTAACCCGTTCCGCTACTTCTGGGTTCGGCGTGGTGCGCAACCCAAAATCGCGCAACCTGAAGCGTCTGTAACCCAAGGTATGACTGCAATCAATATATCCTCACAACATTCCCACATCTAACACATCTGGATTCCCAAAGACCATTCCTTTCTCAAAGGTCTGCAACAGTGCTCTTCCATGGGTGCCCTGCCTGCAGACTCAGCTTGCCCCCTCACCCTCACAGGGGCCACCTTGTGACACCCATGCCTGGCCCCCCTGGATCCATGCGCGCTGAACTCCGGGGCTTGATGTCCTTGTGAAGCAGCGGCCCAAGGGCAATGGACAAATTCTCATGCTCATCACAAGCTGGCAATTACTCAGCTGGGGAGGCGGGAGGCTGGGATGCTATCTGTTTGCTTAAATATTTCGCCTCTTTACATGCATTTCTTGACACTCCAACTGCCAGAAGAGATTTGGAGAGGGAACAAGAAGGGCCCCCACGTTTAGCTCCCTGGGAGCCTCCTGCCCTTTCTTTTTTTTTAATGAGGGGGGAGAGAATAGAATAAGAGAAGAGATTTCATTGCACCAACATTGCTGCTTCTTCATAAATGTCTAGATCTTGGACAGCGGTTCTGCTACACAGGGGTGCAAAATTGAGAAGATCCATCACTGAGAAGGTCCATTTGGGGGTGCCAAATTTTGACCTTGCAAGGGCGCCATATTACAAAAGATTACCAAAGTCTGCCTGTATCTTGGGAGTGGGAAGCTGGTATTAGGAAAGAATAAAAAGACTATGAGAGCAAATCATCTAGCTGATGAAGGGCCTCCATGCTTAATATTATTAATTTGCTTATTTAGCATATTGTTTGTCTCCTAATGTTTATACACCGTCTGCCGAAAAGATGCCACACTCAAAGAGCGAGTTCGATTCCTGCATTGCAGAGGGTTGGACTAGATGGCTCTCATGGTCCCCTCCAGCAATACAATTCTATGATTCTAATGAAATCAGGACAGCTCTTATGTGACACCTGTAATGATGGCATTTCCACCGATAGAAGAAACCAAGTGGGTGCATATGGGCAAGGTGATCTCGCAGGTAGACTGGTCCCAAGTTATTAAGGGCTTTGGATACTAATCGAACACCCTGAACTTGACCCAGTAGCATTTGAAATTTTCAATTATTCCTGTTATTTTTCTTAGTGATATTTTTTTTGCTTTATCTTTTTTTGTACACCATTTTGAGGTGTGTGGTTTTTTTCTTTTCTTTTAACAATCAGGCGGTGCATAATTTTTTTTGAAATATATATTCACAGTTTTTGGAAGAGAAGGGATGGAAACTGATATACTGATAAACAGAGGATACAAAGGCTTCTAAGTGTTGTGTACTGAGTTGAATAGGATCCAAAATGCAGCAGTCTGATTGGTCCTAGAACAATAGGATCCAGAATGCAGCAGTCTGATTGGTCCACAGGAGCCACCCAATCCAGCTCCAGGTGGAAGTGAATCCACAACCTGATTGGCCTACAGGAGAATCCTGGAATTAGCCAATCACGTGGGGCCCATTGTGTAAATAATGTATATAAAGCAGACATTCTGGGGGAACTTCCATTCCTCCTCACCACTATGAGCTGAATAAAGAGCATGAAATCCACTCTCGGCTCCGAGGATATTTCACTAAGCCACCCCAAAAGGGGCACCCGCATCCAGCACTGAGTGCATATTATGGGGTACACACCCTAGAACCTTAGAATTGTTGTCCCTGAGATTAAGAGTCTCATGCTCTACCGACTGAGCCACCAAGTCTAAACCTCCAGACAAATTCTAGAATAGTGCACTCTAGGTCTTTTTTTTGGGGGGGGGGTTGTCCAGTTTGGAGCTGGTCTTTGTCAACTACAGCACCAAAAGACTTTTTTTTTTGCCTGTGCAAAATGTAACAAAGGTTGTCCAGGTTTGACCCCAGGCTTGGCTAATGAATGTCCCTTGTTCCAGGGCAGGCAGCGAATCAGTCAATGGGGCCGAGGACGTGCTAATGGAGGGGGAAACGTTCTGTCCTATCCCCCACTTGCGGTGGGGGGGGGAGAGGTTCTGTCGCGAGTAGAGGTGCCCGCAAACGGAGCACCGGGCCTCTGATGCGATGCAACTCTAGCATGAAATTGAGCCGCTGATTGTCTCATGCGGCGGTAACGAGAAGCATAAGATGTAATTTCTCAGGCATGCCGGATCTAATTAGAGGCTGCCCAAGGGTGACATTGCTGCCTTTTGCATCTGCTCGACGAGCTGAGGAGGGGATCCAAATGGCCAACAAGACCCCAGGGAGAGGAGGAAGGGCTTCAGCAGAGAGTTGTCTCGCAGGTGGGTTGGGGGGTGCAAGCAGGCATTGTGTCTCCACGCACATGGGAATGCGCCCATTGGCGAGGGGCTCACTGAAACGGCCATGTGGCAAGGCCTCGGTGCTCCTGCTGCTCCCTCGAGTCTTGTCCAAGCGTGGCTTAAATCACAGAATCAGAACTGTCGTGTAGGAAGGGAGACCAAGGGTCATGTAGTCTAGCCCTTTGCGATGCAGAAATCATAGGTAAAGACACTCTGACCGATTCCCAACCAGTCTCTGTTTAGAAACCTCCGATAAAGGAGAGTCCATCACCTTCCCAGGTCATATACCGTATACACTTGAGGATGCTGTTGTTGTTTAGTCGTGTCCGACTCTTTGTGACCCCACGGACCAGAGCAAGCCAGGCACACCTGTCTTCCACTGCCTCCCGCAGTTTGGTCAAACTCATGTTCGTAGCTTTGAGAACACTCTCCAACCATCTCATCCTCTGTCGTCCCTTCTCCTAGTGCCCTCCATCTTTCCCAACATCAGGGTCTTTTCCAGGGAGTCTTCTCTTCTCATGAGGTGGCCAAAGTATTGGAGCCTCAGCTTCAGGACCTGTCCTTTCAATGAGCACTCAGGGCTGATTTCCTGAAGAATGGATAGGTTTGATCTTCTTGCGGTCCATGGGACTCTCAAGAGTCTCCTCCAGCACCATAATTCAAAAGCATCCATCCTTCGGTGATCAGTCTTCTTTATGATCCAGCTCTCACTTCCATACATCACTACTGGGAAAACCATAGCTTTAACTATACGGATCTTTGTTGGCAAGGTGATGTCTCTGCTTTTTAAGATGCTGTCTAGGCTTGTCATTGCTTTTCTCCCAAGATACTTAAATATAAGCCAACCTAAATATAAGCCGAGGCACCTAATTTTAGCACAAAAAACTGGGAAAACTTATTGACTTGAGTATAAGCTGGTTCACCACACCACAAACCTGATGGTGGCGGCAGTGGCGGAGGAGGAACGAGCAGCCCAAAATCAGCCCTTTGGGGCTGCTCGTACCTGCCTCACTTGAGTATAAGCCAAGGGGGGCTTTTTCAGCATAAAAAAAAGTGTTGAAAAAGTCGGCTTATACTCGAGTATATATGGTAATTAATAGCTTGTAGAGTTGGAGGGGACCCAAAGCTCATCAAGTCCAGCTCCCAGCAAATCAGGAATCTCAACTAAAGCATCCATGACAGATGGCCATCCAACCTCAACTCAACCCGCCCCCCAATGAAGATCATTTTTTTAACAAAAACCAAACCTCAATTGAAGGAGAATCCACTACCTTCTGAGGGCGTCAGTTCTACAGTTGAACAGCTCTTACTCCCAGAAAACTCTTCCTAATGTTTAGTTAGAACCTCTTGTCATTTGAATCCATTGGTTTGGCTCCTAGGCTCTTGAACAGGAGAAAACAAGCTTGCTCCATGTGGCAGCCCTTTAGATATTTGAAGGTAGCTGTCATCTCATCTCTCAGTCTTCTCTTCTCCAAGTTAAACATCTCCAAGTCCTTCAGCTGCTCAAATGACCCCTCATCGGAGGCAGACTGACCATGAGTGTGTCTGCTCTGCCTCCCTGTGCCCCCCCCCACTTTCACCTTCCGTGAGCTGACCCCACTCATCAGCTGCTCTTTGGAGCTAAAACTTACACAAGCAACAAGAACATGAATGGAAAGTGGAGTTGGCAGGACTGGCCTATGCCCCATCCTCTAAGGAAGGAAGGCTGGGCCTTTCAGACTCCACACTCTGTGAGCTGCTGTGATGGCCTGGGATTCGGACTCAGATGCTGAACCTGAGGGATCCCAGCCTGCACAGGATCCCCTGCCTCCAGAACCAGCTGAGCCGGGGCTGGGGCATGAGCCTGAAGGGTCCTCACCTGTGCTGGGTCCTCAGGTGCAGGCATCAGCTGAGTCTGCTCTGGCTCCTGAGGTGATGGAGGACCCATTGCCTGCAGGTGCTCCACTCTCAGCCCCGTCAGAGGAAGCCGAGGTTGCCTCTGGGTCCGGTAACCCTCCAGCCTCTCCTGAGCTGCAGAGGCTCAGGGCAGAGAGGCGGAGGGAACTAAGTTCCCGCAGGAGGAGTGCTCGCCTCCAGGCCAGGAGAGGTGAGTCAGCAGAGGATCGGGGCCGCCCTATGCCTGGGGGCAGATAAAAGCCGGCCAGCCCCAGTCCCAAGTTGCGGGAGCAACATAGTTGGTTGCTAGTTCCTGCCTGAACCCTGTCCTGCTTTCCTGCCTGAGCTCTTAACCTGCCCTGGCTCCCTTCTTGCAAGCCTGTTCCTGACTTCACCCAGCTCCCTGCCCTGCACCCAGCTTCAGCTACTACGGACTGCCTCCACGTTGCACCTTTGACCATGGACCAGACTTGGACCTCGCCTCTCGGGTTACCCACAGGACCAGTACACCTGCTAAGCAAACCTGTGCTCTTGAGTCGCCATGAAGGAATGCAGGGATGCCTTCTCATAGGACTTACCTGGATGGAGGCTGAAGTGGTGGTCACACCTGTGTCGTAGATGGTGTTGCTGTCATTGGCGTTGTATGTTGATGTCTCCATCTTGGGCGGCAAGGTGATGTGTTGAATTGGCGGGAGAGGCCGGTCCGTGCCGTTGCCAAAAGCCTGGATGGCATTTCCTGGAGAGGGAAACAGACAGCTTTACTGAAGGAACAACGAAAGCTCCTCCTCGACATCACCTCCATGCCCTTTCCTATCAGGCTTCCCGGTTAGGGACCCACCCCTCTCTGACCTGCCCATTGCTTCCTGAAAGTGCTCTGCAGCCCCACATGAATCCGATATAATGACTGTAACCACAGGAGACGGCACATGGTATGTAATGGTGGAGAGGACTAACCATAAAGTGATCAGGCCAATGGCCCAAGTCCAGCATCCTGCTCTCACAGTGGACTTGATGGGCCATTGGCCTGATCACATTATGGTTAGTAGCCATCAATAGCTCTCTCCACCATTACACGTGGCACTCTCTCTCTCTCTCTCTCTCTCTCTCTCTCACACACACACACACACACGCACCATTACACGTGGCACTCTCTCTCTCTCTCTCTCTCTCACACGCACGCACGCACGCACGCACACACACACATGCATGAGGCTCCACGGTGTTTGAGAACAGCCCTAACTCCCTCTGGCCAAATTCTACTCTGGGGACCACAGAATGACTTACGCAGGCAGGGGTTTTCCATGAAGTCCTTCAGGAACTTCTCACACTCTTCCTCCATGTTGCCACTGCCCCGGCAGGAGCACGATGGGGACACAACGAGGTTGGCAGTGCTGGAGTCGACATAGTTGGGTGTCATGTCCAACCCTGTCCAAGAAGGGAGAGGGTAAAGCTTGAGTCTGCCACCTCCTACACACAGGTAAAGGTAAAGGGACCCCTGACCATTAGGTCCAGTCATGGACAACTCTGGGGTTGCGGCGCTCATCTCACTTTATTGGCCGATGGAGCTTCTGGGTCATGTGGCCAGCATGACTAAGCCGCTTCTGGTGAACCAGAGCAGCGCACAGAAACGCCGTTTACCTTCCCGCTGGAGTGGTACCTATTTATCTACTTGCACTTTGATGTGCTTTCGAACTGCTAGGTGGGCAGGAGCAGGGACAGAGCAACTGGAGCTCACCCCGCCGCGGGGATTCGAACCACCGACCTTCTGATCGGCAAGCCCTAGGCTCAGTGGTTTAACCCACAGTGCCACCCGTGCCCCCCCTACACACAGAAGGATGGGCAAATGCCACCGTCTTTGTAATTCCTTTCTCAAAACCCTTCCCCATTTGTCCAGCGCACATCAGGTACTGGACCCCCAGGGTTCAATTTAAGCATCAGTGTGTATCTCACAGACCCAGCTCTGGGCTGCCCCATGATATTGTGGGAGACTGCAGTCAAACAGAACTACGCACGACTCCTAGTTAGTACATGAAGGGGTTAAGGGCTACATTGTATTGCTAGATAGACTCAGTTAAGTCATGCTCCTCCTCTCCAAAGAGGAAACAAAGACTGTTTTCTCCTCCTTTCTGCCATGTGCTTAAGCTACTTCTACACTTAGACCACTTGCCTGACTCTGGCTGTATTTTCTACCCAAGACTATTTTGCCGGTCTTATCCCTGCATGGAACAATGCATGACTGAGACCTTGCATCTGCAAGCAGAGCATCTTAAACTTACTTAACATAGAATCGTGGAGCTGGAAGGGACCCCAAGGGTCATCTAGTCCAACCCCCTGCAATGCAGGAACCTCAGCTAAGGCATCCTCAACAGATGGCCGTCCAGGCTCTGCTTTAAAATTCCCAATGAAGAAGATTCCGCCACCTCCTGATGGAATCCATTCCACTGGTCAACAGCTCCTACTGTCAGAAAGTTCTTCCTGATGATCAATAAGAATCTCCTTTCTTGTAACTTGAATCCATCGGTTTGTGTCCTCCCCTCCAGAGCAGGAGAAAACAAGCTTGCTCCATCTTCCATGTGACAGGCCTTGAGATATTTGAAGATGGCTATCACATCCCATCTCGGGTGGCGCTGTGGGTTAAAGCCTCAGCACCTAGGACTTGCCGATCGAAAGGTCAGCGGTTCGAATCCCTGCGGCGGGGTGCGCTCCCGTCGTTCGGTCCCAGCGCCTGCCAACCTAGCAGTTCGAAAGCACCTTCGGGTGCAAGTAGATAAATAGGGACCGCTTACTGGCGGGAAGGTAAACGGCGTTCCGTGTGCTGCGCTGGCTCGCCAGATGCAGCTTTGTCACGCTGGCCACGTGACCCGGAAGTGTCTGCGGACAGCGCTGGCTCCCGGCCTATAGAGTGAGATGAGCGCACAACCCTAGAGTCTGGCAAGACTGGCCCGTACGGGCAGGGGTACCTTTACCTTTACCTTTTATCACATCCCATCAGATGGTCTTTTCATTGCAAGAGGGGCAGAAAGAGGTCAGCTGCTGTGTGCAGCTAATTAGGATAAGAAAGGTCCATGAACCTACATTCCTAATGTTGTTCTGCTGCACAAGCTGTGACTTGATAGCCTCAGGTAGGAGCAGAGGAGGGAGGTGGATGGAAGCCTTTCTGTTTTGCCTCAAGTGACAAAATTCACAATGGGGTAACATGCAATTCTATATTGGATTGTCTTCCCATATCAGATTATACATGGCTGAGTAAAATCTGATTTTGGGGATGGGGTGGGGTGGGGAGAGTACAAACCACTATTTTAATGAGGAATCCAACTGTAGACTTGGAAGGTATGGGAATGTTCAGGGAGGCAGGAGAGGATACATTGTTTAACAATATCCTTCCTAACTTGCGCTAGCAAGTTCTGTAACTTAGCAGAGTTTTACATCCCCCTTTTAAACACACAGAAGTTAGCTTCTTGCAAGCTTGTTTAAGCTTCTCAATATAAGATTCCTTGTAATTTCCCTTATATTCCTCTTAAAAAGAATAGACATGACACAATCTTGTGCAAACTATATAAAAGAAGTTTACTCACACATTCAGTTCACAGATGGATCCCTGAAGGCAAACTAAGTTACAGAGTATATACATGTAGAACTATCCCATATGGAGATAGTCTCTTTGTCCTCTGTTGGCTAAAAGCTAAAAGCCAACAGAGCATTTCTAGCTAAGAAAACTGCTGGTCTAGCGACGGAGAAGGCAAAGAGAAGAGAGAAGGGGGGCTGCACGCCCTGTGCTTTTGTTACCTGCACAGGTAAGGTCACGCCCACCTCTAGTCACATGCTAAAGGAAGTTTGTCCCAGCCCAGGAGGAAACAGGAAGTTCCAACTGGCTGGACCAAACAGCCCCTTGCATGTCCACTCTAGGAAAACTAGGAATGTTGTACTTGACTGCTGTCTATGTATAACAAAAGGGATGTCGTGTGGACACTGCCAAAAATAAAAATAAAAGACACAACAAGCAGTTTCAACACAGCATTAGCTTCAGTGTGGATGAGCCTATTAATGCTACTCACCTATTAGGCCTGCGTAGGAACCAAGACAAGCCTGGTAATTGTCCCCAGGGCAGCTGGTCAGTGACTGGAAAGAGGCTTGGCAATTCGTGTGGAAATCTGCCAGTCTTGACCTGGTGACAAAGACAAGGGAGGAAAGGGGAAGGAAAGTTAAAATACTGCCCTGCTCAAGAAGTAGCAAGTTGTTTATGAGAGTCAGGGTGAAGGGAAGAGAGAGGAGATGAAGGGAAGCATGGTATTGCCAAATCCTGGAAGACCTTTAATCTTAGTGCCATGGTACCTTGGTTGTCAAACTTAATCCGTTCCGGAAGTCCGTTCCAAAACCATAGAAAGTAATGTAAAATGGATTAATCCGTTCCAGACTTTTAAAAACAACCCCTAAAACAGCCATTTAACATGAATTTTACTATCTAAGGCAGGGGTCAATTTTACTATCTAATGCAGCAAACGTTTCCAGCAGGGACCGGTCCACTGTCCCTCAGACGTTGTGGGGGGCCAGACTGTATTTTTTGGGGGGGAAGAATGAATTCCTATGCCCCACAAATAACCCGGAGATGCATTTTAAATAAAAGCACACATTCTACTCATGTAAAAACACGGACTGTCCGCGGGCCGGATTTAGAAGGTGATTGGGCCGGATCCAGACCCCGAGCCTTAGTTTGCCTACCCATGATCTAACAAGACCACTGATCCATAAAATGAAAGCAATAAACAACATACTGCAGTCACACAATCAATCAGTCAGTAGCAGAACTGGGTTCCACACAGTCACAAAAACAAAAGAGCCGCAAAAACAAAAAGGCAAAATAGCAGCAAAAACAGACCTCAGCGTAACACTCAAAACGGGGCACGTTTGGCTCCCGAAAAAGGTTCGCAAACCAGAACACTTACTTCCGGGTTTGCAGTGTTTGGGTTCCAAGTTGTTTGAGTACCAAGGCGTTTGAGAACCAAGGCACCACTGTAATTTGGATTGCTGGTATTCAAGGATTTGCAAATGGTCCTTCTTGAAAAGGTATCTCATAAACAAAATATCTAAAGGGCAGGGTTTGACTGGCCTTTTTTTTTTTTGCTATATATAATAGAATTATAGAATTGCAGATTTGAAGGGGACCCCAAATATTGTCTAGCCCTATTCCCTGCAATGCAGGAATCAGAGCTAAAGCATCCCTGACAGATGTCCAACCACTGATTAAAAACCTGAAATGAAGGAGAGTTCACCACCTTCCAAGGGAGTCCATTCCACTTTCGAACAGCTCTTACCATAAGAAAGTTCCTTCATATGGGATGATTTTATTTCTTATGCAAATATGGAGGCACATGGTCACTCAGTGCCACCAGCATACGCAAATGTCTGACTCATTTAAGCATATACAAAACTTTGGACACATCTACACAGCTGCAAATAAAGCATTTAAAATGTGTTGTAAAGTGCAATGTACAAATGTGGCAATAGGTGGCGATAGTGAACTATGCAAAATTCAATACATTTTTCAAAACCATTTTAGAAAAAAAGCATGTTCACAGTGTTTTGTTATATGTGTGTAGATTCCACCTTTTACTCTCAGTAATGATGGAACTCACAGATGAAGAATACTTTGATTTTTATGAATCTTTTTGTTTTTTAAAAGGAGTATTTTTGTGAGTTAATACTTTATTATCCCTTTGGAGCTATGTTGAATCTTTAACTAGGATTCCTGCCTTGCAAGGTTCAAATTAGATGGCTCTTTGGGTCCCTTTCCATCTCTATCATTCTATGATTTTATTATCTTTGTACTTTTGTCCTCCCAGGCTTTGCGGTTTACATTTCTGGCTCTCTCTTTTTGCCCTTTTTGTTACGTTTGCACTTTTGGCTGTAGTCCACAAATCAATAAAATAGAATAAAGAATAAAGAAGGCAGTCAAGGGTCTGGACGGCTGCAGGAGGTGGTCATCATGTCACAAGTCATATTCGCAACCCTTTTGTGGCGCTTCCTGGACCTCACACCGTGAGCGAGAGAAGGCAGAGAAAGCTGCCAGGAAGATCTATGTCCGAGATGACCACGGAGGCGTGAAGACCATCACCCAGGGAAGCGCAGAAACTAGAGCGGGGCTGAAATGACTCACAGCTTTTCATAAATTTTTCTGGCAGTGCAAAAAAAAGAAAAAAAAGCCACTCTTAGCATTTGGTCCCCACGTCCTTCTTGTGAAATTATGCACTTCCTTCGTTGACAACTGGCGGTCTTTTCTCTCCAGTTAACCCTCAGTGACATCTTCACGCGGCCAAACTGAATTGGCTTTGCAGCGTTGTGGCATCTCGTTCGCTGCATAGAATCATAGAACTGAATCATAGAACTGCAAGGTTTGGAGGGGACCCAAAAGGCCATTTAGCCCAACCCTCTGCGGTGCAGGAATCACAGCTAAGGAATCCCTGACAGATGGCCGGCCAACCTATCTTTAAAAACCTCCAACGAAGGAGAGGTCACCGTCTCACGAGTGAGTCCACTGCAGAACAGCTCTTACCATCAGGAAGTTCATCATCATCATCATCATCATCATCATCATCATACTGTAATAATAATTTATTATTTGTACCCTGCCCATCTGGCTGGGCCTCCCCAGCCACTCTGGGCAGCTTCCAACAAAGATTAAAAATACATTAAAATGTCACACATTAAAAACTACCCTAAACAGGACTGCCTTCAGATGTCTTCTAAAAGTCTGGTAGTTGCTTATTGCCTTGACATCTGCTGGGAGGGCATTCCACAGGGTGGGTGCCACTACCGGAAAGGCCCTCTGCCTGGTTCCCTGTAACCTCACTTCTTGCAGTGAGGGAACCGTCAGAAGGCCCTCGGAGCTGGACCTCAGTGTCCAGACTGAACGATGGTGGTGGAGACACTCCTTCAGGTATACTGGGCCGAGGCCGTTTAGGGCTTTAAAGGTCAGCATCAACAAATCAACCAGGTGTCTCCCCTCCCTACATTCTCTATTTGGGGATCTCACTATTCCTGCCTAAGTGGAGAGCTTTACGTTCAAAACCTATTGGTTTTAAACCAATAAATAACCGTTCATAATTCAACGCACCTGCCTGGAGGAAGCCTTTTAATCTGTGCGTCTGGGAAGTTATGTGCGTTTCATTTCGCTGGCTTTGACCTGACAGCTCTCTCTTCCTCCATCCCATCAAGAAAGAAACTTGCACCCCTATCTAATCCAGATAACACTGAACCCCCTTTTGATGTGTCCAGTAAATGTATGGTGCTTATTGTGGATTGACAAGTTTAACTACGTGGTATGGTGAAGAAGCACCTCCTTCTGCCCAAATCTTCCAGCAATTCAGCCTGTTGGCATTTCATAGGCATTTAATCGTCTTCGCGGCGATACAGGGCAGGCTGGCAGTGCTAAGATCCTGGCATGTGCTGCTGAGTTTGACATGGTCTCTCTGCCTCTCGCTGGAGCCTGGGCGCACAGGTGTCTTGAGGCATCTCCTGCTGGAAAGCTGGCTTGTTCTGGGCAGTAATGAAGCAAGAGAATTGATGGGTTTTCACTCTTCTTCACTTTGAGGGAGGCTCCAGGGCGGGGGGCGGGAGGGTGCTGTAGGCCCGCAGCATAAGGGGGGCCGAAATGAACTCACAGCTTTTCATAAAAGGAGAACTCACCTTGCCACAAAGATCCGTCTAATGTTCCAACCGGTGATTCCGCGCAACTAGTGTGCCGGGACGTCCTGTGTTCGTGGAGGCGGGCGGCGAGAGGCGGCGGCGCGAGCACACGGGGCGGCGAGCGAGCTCCTCCACATCCTCGCCGCTCGCTTCGGCCGGCTACGGAGGAAGCCGAACCTCGGCCATGGAGGCTCCGCTGCGACACCAGTAGCGCGAAGCGAGCGCAGCAGTGGGAGGGGCCGCTCGCCGCCCCGCGGTGCTGCCACCGACTCGCCGCCTCCTCACACACAGCTCTCCGTGTGCCTTTGCCCAAAAAAGGTTGGGAAACACTGGTCTAGTTCAAGCTCTGGTTTTCCCAGTAGTGATGTATGGAAGTGAGAGCTGGACCATAAAGAAGGCTGATCGCCAAAGAATTGATGCTTTTGAGTTATGGTGCTGGAGGAGACTCTTGAGAGTCCCATGGATGGCAAGAAGATCAAACCTATGCATTCTGAAGGAAATCAGCCCTGAGTGCTCACTGGAAGGACAGATCCTAAAGCTGAGGCTCCAATACTTTGGCCACCTCATGAGAAGAGAAGACTCCCTGGAAAAGACCCTGATGTTGGGAAAGATGGAGGGCACAAGGAGAAGGGGACAACAGAGGATGAGAGGGTTGGATAATGTTCTCGAAGCTACCAGCATGAGTTTGACCAAACTGCGGAAAGCCATGGAAGACAGGAGTGCCTGGCGTGCTCTGGTCCAGGGGGTCACGAAGAGTCGGACATGACTAAACGACTAAACAACAACAACATTTCATTTGCAGCCCCTTCATGGGGCCAGACTGGACACCAGAAAGGCACTGGGAGCACTGCTTACCTTTCTTAGTGGGTCATGAAAACTACTATTCCAGATAACCCTTTTTAGAGGGTAGGGGCAGTAGGGGTGAGTTTATGGAAATAAAATGCTTGGGAACCACTGAGAGGTAAATATCAGCCTGTAATATGAGTCTACCATATGCAGTTGGTATAAGGATTTCTGGCCTCACGCCTGTGAGAGATGTTCAGCGCCTGCATAGGACAAGGCCACCTAAATACTAAAGAAGCTTCTTCTCATTTTGCTTCTCGGCTGAGACCTGCTTTGTCCAGGCAGGCAGGTTGAATTACAAATAGTAATTTCTTTGTTTAACCACAGGCTAAAGGAAGCACACAAAGAATAAGCAATATCCCAGGTGGAATATATGGCTTGGTCCTTATATATGGCTTAAGTCAAGGCTATCTGAAAGACTCTGTTCCCTCATAAGAACCTGCCCAGGTTCTGAGATCTTCGGGAGAGTGCCTTCTCTCGGTCCTGCCACCCCACCCTCCCAGGCACACTTGGTGGGGATGTGGGAGAGGGCCTTCTTTGTGGCTGCTCCCAGACTTTGGAACTCCCTCCCTAGAGAAGCCAGAATGGCCTCCTCCTTGCTGTCCATTTGCTGGCAGCTGAAGACTTCCCAAACAGGCA